TTTCTCCGACCCCTCATGGGAGCCCGGAAAAACCTTTTTTTCACCACAGAAATAGCAAAGAGTGGGTGTTGTGTGTGTGAACAAGGGAGTTCAGCAAAGAAGATGAGGTGAGACCTAGTGCTAACTAAGGCTCATTATTATTATTTGCTTAGTATAGTGCTGCATTTGGCCTAATTGAAGCCAAATATTTGTACATTGTACATCTAGCTTGTGTGTATTCTCCCACCAATTTTGGTTTCAACATTATGCCATGGAACACATGAAGTACACAAATCATGTACTGTAGTACACATACCCTAATGAAATATTAATAATGTATTTAAGCATTAAAATCTGCTCAAAAGGCAGACTGCCCCAGACACAAACCTAAAGTGGTTCATATAATTGTGCTGTATTGACCGTCAATCCTTTGAATATGCAAGGATCATCCTGTATTTTGCATATGACAAGCATTTTAGTTGTTTCCTGAAGATTCACTCTCCATGAATCATGTACTGCATGTTTGCTTGGTTATTTTGCTTACATTTTTGATTTATTGAAGTCTCCGATCACAAGCTATAGTTCCAACCACACATCTTTGCGAATGTTCATTGGAACTGTGCAATCAGAATGCAGAGAATCATCAATCATTGTTGGATATCAATGATGGTTTTGGGAAATGGACTCATGGATTGGATCAACATGACAATTCCATGCATCATGAGTAACAAAGTAAAACAAAAAAAAATCCAAATATTGATCACAAGTCCTTTATGAGAGTAGATTGGTAACTTCCATCTCTCCTTTACTTTGGATCTCTGCCTGCTGGTGCTGCCAAAGAGCTAGTTTAATCCAAGCCGTTACTCCAAAGCGCTACAGCTTGATGACAAGATAAAGGACTTTGACACAGTGACTTCTGCTGACATGACAGACTTTTTCTTTTCCTCGCTCTCCTCTTCCCCGAGTTGAAGAGTTGAATCCTGGGTCAGCAGCTTTCAGCAGAACCCCAGACTACAATTCCAGATGGTGAAGTAGGACCAGATCTCAGCTCATCAATTTAATGAGAGCTGCCTCTGCTTAGCCACGTCCTGCTCCTCGGCCAACACTTCCGGCTACGCTGAGGCCTAAATGTTTGACAAATAAAGACGGATCTCAGTTAATTGGATAAGGGATGGCCTTCGTGTACGAAAGTGGCAGTGTAATGTGATGCAGATCCAGCGGTTTTCCTGACCTTCTGAGATCACAGTGACTGAATGTCATATTTTTGGACTTGTTTGCACTTGCGATGGAAAAAAGAGACAGGAGGAAGTGATTGTTTATATTTAATGAAACAATTTATTGATTTTGTTATAGTCTACTTGAATATGTTGACTGTTTTCTGCTTTGCACAGTGCAGAGTTTATAAGACAGTGACCTCTTGGATTTGGAGTTGTCTGGTAATGTTTGTGTATATGTTGCTATGAAAGCAAATCGACTTGCAAGACTAGAAGCAGAGAAGATAACCTTTTCAGGCCTCATACATCAAAACAAAGAAACTTTCAAGGAAAGATAACACGCCGGACAACAGTACTGTATATTGCATACAAAAAATAAATAAATAAAAATTAAAAATGTGCATAAAATAATGCACACAATTGAGACAGACTTTTATACTATAAGATGATAATCTTAAAAAAATAAGTTGCAAACATTTTACTAAATAAATAACTTGAAATACAACAACTAAAAATTACTTTAGTAATTATTAAACAGTGATTTTTGTTCTCCTAACACAAACTTTGTTGCTTTCATCGCAAATTAATTTTAAAATTGTCAAAATGTTCATACTTTAACAGTGAAACTTTGAATGGAAACAATCCAGCAAGCATTTTCTAATTTTAAAAGATGTCTAATAGACGTCTAAACAAAGTCTTCCAGTCTAAAACAAGACTAAATTTGGGTTGTCAGTGAAAATCTAATAAGAAAAAGAAGAATAGGCCAAAAACTTGATAAGTCATCAAATGTGTGAAATGAATGACACATCAAGTCTGTCTAATCCGTCTATTTGACAACTATAGTTTTGGGCTATTAGATTTTTACTTATTGCCTTAGGCCAAGCTGTCCAGTTGTCTATTAGACGCCTTTTAAACACAGAATTATTTGCTGGGTAGTTATTGTCCAAGAGATTAAATATTTCTGTAGAACGAATAACAGTCAACAATTCAATGAAACTTTCGGAAGGCGTGGCCTCAAAAAATTAAATTACTTAAACTGAAATTAATTGATGTCGCAAAAGTTACCCCAAGTTACACCAATGCTATTTTACAATGTAGAATAGCGCCTATAAACGTGTACAAAGGATAAATAATGGATCGTTACTTATTAGCTGTTCTGTAGCACGTTCAAAAATTAATAAACGTATGAATAAATAAAATGTGTATTTACTGTAGCCCAGCTAATTCTTTTATACGCCGACCACCAATATTTGGTTGTCAGTTACTTTATTTTCTTGTTCTTTTACTACAAATTATCTGATTGCCAGTCCTTTACAACGATTATACATAATTCTCACTCTCATTATAAATACAATATAATGATGTATTTAAATGACATCATTATATTGTTTCATCTTGGCCCATAAAAGTGTCTGGATGTCGGGCGTGTGTTGTGTCACACCATATTTTTCGAACCACTGTGGAACTAAAATCTCCGTCACTGTCTATTATTGTTGTTGCAAGTATTCTGCAAATGGTTATGAATGTCCGTGGGCCCTGGTTAAAAGTTAAAGCGAAAAATTGACTAAGTGCTAACAATATAGTACAGGATTCGTTTGTTTTCACTTCTCCAACCTAAAAGTATGAGGATTTCCAGATGAGGTCCGTCTCAGGCTGGAGATGTGGACTCTAGTAATATTCGCCTATTCTCTTCCAGACAGTGAGCCAGAGGTTAAGCAGGAACTCAGCCCTTGCCGAGGGAGTGTGTGTAGGGGTGTGTAAGCCCTCTCTTCTCCACAGCAGATTGTGCGGTGTTATAATTGACTCATCCCTCCTCATGTCTTCATCGCAACGTCGTGTATTTTTCATCGGCCTTTCGTCGTTTCGCACTTTGTCGCCAATTGTAAGACAAAACAATTTTATCAGGCATCCGTACAAGCGCTTTAACTGACATTCTCTCATTTTTCTTTCTAACTCTAAGGCTAATTTAAATGCGCATCGCTTCTCATAAAGTTATACAGTATAGATTTAAATATAAAATGTAAATAATTTAATTTTCATTTTTTTTATTTCTGTTTGCATGTCTGTTTGCATTTGTTTAAGTAACTGTTCAAAGCAGACATTGACGTGCTGCACATAAGTTTCATAAGCTTCATTTGATATGAATTCGTACTGCACTTAAGTCGTTCTTGAATACCACCAGTAGACTAATTTAGACACATTAACGGTTTTTACATATATGATTTATCTATAAAATCATACAACTTTCGGGTTATAGCCTAAATATCAGGTTATGTGAAAAATTAATAACAAAGCTTAACGAAGAAGTCTAATTTATTTATTTTATTTAAAGTAGGCTAATAAAATAAACAAATATTGATAGTTGAAAATTACGACAGGGCTGATAAATGATGTTTTAAAATGAGAAAACGAACAGTTGTCTATTTTCCCAAACCATTTTATTTGTATATTTTATAAGCCCATTTAATTATTGTATTTTTTTACACGTTGCAAAAAAATGTTAAATGCTTTTTAAGGTAGGGGAAAAGTTGATTGTCCTTTGGGAAAAGCATTGTCCTTTAGGTAGCCTATTTTTTTACATAAGAGTAAAATGTCAAATATTTGTAATTGACTGGGAATTATTAGGCTATAATAGGTTATTGTTGTTATTTTGTACTTTCCGTTTTTTTTAAATAGCTTATTTAATAAGCTAATAACGTTGATCCAGGCTAAACATTTTACAGTTTTGTTTGTTTTTTATTGCGAAATAATTTCACAAATAAGCCTAATTACAAACGGTTAAACAAAAATAATTTTTAATCATTCAAAGATAGGCCTGTTGATAACATTGACTTGTAAAATAATGATCAGAATTTTGCCTTTAATGGCATACATTTCTGACACCTTAATTGTTAGGACTAAATCAATAAAAGCGGAATTATACACAGAGAAGCCGCATTTATCTAATGCATACAAGTCCAGCTGCGAGAGGAAAAAAGACATTAAGTTTGATGGATGTTAATGAGAAAGCGCGAGCTTGTGCGCGGTCATGAATGCTCACGCGTTTGAAAATAACAAAATGACACAAAAATGAAGGATATTTAACCAAAGCTAATGATTATTCAATCTAAAAGGCTGACCGCTGATAAACAAGTCCAAAACGAAAAGCCTGTTCGCTGAAAAACTTTCTCAAACTTTGAATTCCAAATGTCCACTTCCTAAAATGTTTACATCTAACTGCTATATATTACTGTACATGCGCAGGTAAGTTTGTAGCGCATTTATTAGCAGTTTTATATCGTCTGCTAAAATGTGTTTCAAAGCTCATAAAAAGCCAGTCTCTGAATCATTGTTATCCATCCACCCGACTCCCACAAACACACACACACACACACACACACACACACACACACACACACAGTCAGTTTATTGAGACTCCCTGCATGCTGTATGAGTATACAGGGAGGAGTATTGCACAGGGAGAAGTAAATGAATGAAGTGTTACACTCATCTTTCCTCACAATCCCTGACTCCTCCTCCTCCCGACTCCTCGGACTGACTCTCTGTGAGCTCCGGGGCCTCCAAACAAAACAGACCCACAAGAAAGGAGGAACATCTCTTGTGCTCTCCTCACTCCATTCCGAGAGCCTGCTGGATCCTCCTGTTCTTCTTTTCTCCAATTCTGACATGGATTCTGGTTGAGTTCTTTCCACATAAAAAAGAGCACTTTTTGCTGGCCGTGACCCAACTTGACTTTGCGATGACACCTTGAGGTTGGATTTTAGCACTGAAGTGAACTCAAAACTAGCTTGGACCTTGTGACTCAACTGGGCCCATTTGCTCTGCTCCTGAAAGTCCTCAAAATGGGTTCTGATGTTCGTGACCTCAACACTCTTCTCCCTCCAGTTCCACCGCTGCCCGGTGGAAACGGTAACTGTACTCTTCCAGTGAGCAGCACCCCACAATGGCCTCCGATGTTGGACTTTCACACCGGAGCGCCATACGGCTCGCTGGCCCAGCACTCCTTCATCAAGCAGGAGCCCAGTTGGGGAACAGCTGACCCTCATGAAGACCCTCACTGTGGGTTGAGTGCCTTTACCGTGCACTTCTCCGGACAGTTCACTGGCACAGGGGCCTGCAGGTACGGAGCCTTCGGGGCCCCTGCAGCAAGCCAACCTCCACCCAGCCAACCAAGGATGTTCAGCAACAGCCCTTACCTGTCCAACTGCATGGACAGCCAATCCAGCTCCAGGAATCAAGGTGAGGAACTACTTTAATGGCATTCTCTGTACATTGTTTGGGAGCATTTGTATGAGATAATTTAACAAGTATAAACATTCTGCTCTGTATTGTGGGAAATGAGCTTCACATTTGAATTGTAAACTCTGAACAACACTGGTTGTTTGTTGGGTTTCACAAAGAGCCTTTAACATCCATGGAAGCACTCCATTGCACAAAAATAAAAGGTCATTTATAGTGGCAAAAGGTTAAAAAATATTGTGCACAGTACAACAAATTATTCATATATTGAATTGCTCACTACGAAGATTCCTCCTTGAAACTTTTGTTTTTAAGACAGAATTAACAAAACTTCTGTTGAAACAGAGTTTGCATAATTATACATATATAGCAATCAAAACATTAGGTTAAATTCAATTCTGAAGCTGTATTTCTACTAAAATATACTGCAGGGATCTTCAAAAAGTGTCATTTTAATGTGATATAAGTGTTACTTTTATTTTCTCTCCTATTCATTAACAGATGCATTATATGTAATTAAAAGAAACTACAGCTCGAGTCCATTTGTATACATCCAGATTATGTATTTTAATAATTTTGTACAACTTTATAAAATATGATAAATATATTATTATGATTAACTACTATCTATTATTCTGGTACAATTTTCTATAATAAATTATTAAATAGTTATTATACTTTTTGTTGTCCTGGTTAAAATGTGTCTACTTAATGCAGGTAACTTATGGTGAAAAGCTTCTGCTTTTATGTTACAATTGAAAAACTTTAAAAATCAGCATTGTCTGCTCTTGTTTTTGGATGGGACTTTACATTTTGTCATTCTCAATTTCACAATATCAGACATTGCAATTACTCAACTGAGCTAAAACAACCTAAAAGTTAGAAATGAAAAAAAGAAATGTTCACAAATTATTTGTATTAATTATTAATGTTTCTAAATAAAAGCAAGTTGTCCACACTACACTGAAAAAAATGATTCAAAAATGATTCATTGGGTTTGCTAAATAAGTGGCTGTAAACAATTTATTTGGGCTGAATTTAAACAAATAAATGAAGTTGATATGTATTGTACAGCATGAGTACTGAGAACAACAGATACTATACACTGTAAAAAGTGACGAGTTACTTAAAGCGAGTAACCAATTGCCTTAAATACAACAAGCTGACTTTACAAAAATAAAGTAAACCCAATGTAACTTAGAACTGTTAAGTTGACTTAATCTTTATAAATATGCTAATTGTATTCACTTTTTTAAAAGTATTTTACTGTGTCATTTAGATTCAGAAAAGCTGGGGGAAAAACAAATATAGAAAAGGTGTATTGGAAAAAAGTGATTAGTTTCCTTTTATTTAAAAAAGTGAGTACAATTTTCATAATTATAAAAATTAAGTCAACATAACAGTTCCAAGTTACAATGGGTTAACTTTATTTTTGTTAAGTCAACCTGTTGCTTTTTAAGGCAATTGGTTTACTTGCTTTAAGTATCTAATAACTTTTTACAGTGTACGCTAAAAAATGACATTTGCTGTTTGTTCAAACTACTTATGAAATAAGCTGAAACAACACAATTCTTGAGTTTTTTTGGAATAACCATATTGTTTTATTTTCAATCCACCTAAATTAGCAAAAAATTAATAAAATAACCTAATTCCATCATGTTGTACCAACACAAATCTATAGTGTGGAACCCAGCACTATTTTACAGTGTAGGATCAGGCTTCAGTTTAGGCGTACTGCATGTAACTTCATAATTAATAACTATTATTACTATAGTAAGTGCATGTAATGTGTTAACACATTTTGAATGAATTAGAACAAATTTACTCAAGTTAATTATACGAAACCCTCATTTAAATGAGCAGGACTTTGGCAACAACAACCAATTTCTGAAAATGAAATTATTTGTTGTATTATAGACTAATTGTAATAATCTGGTTGTGTATAATAAAGTTAATTTATATAATTCACTTTAATTTGTCATTAAATTATGATGTAAGCATCTTCTATAATGCAGAAGTGTTTTATTGGACAGTGGTGTGTTTTGTGTGTGCTTGTTTTAACAGTGAGTAAGTAAATGAGTAAATGTATTATGTGATTTATCCATCACCAGGGTCGTCGCCTCACACATATTTGTCTGCCGTGAGTAATTATGTATCTCAGTGCTGCTGTATTTGTCAAAACACTTCCCGGTTATTGTACAGATATGCTCCAAACAGCTCATCACGCTGGCGTTTAATGCATGCGCTCATTACACACTTTGTGGGATGATAAGATGTTTGCTGTAAGGCAAAAAACTTTTTTCTCCCTCCCTAATCTGGATGACAAATTTGAAGACGAATCGAAGATGAACTAACTGCGTTTGCCTTCAATATTTGAAAAACTGAAATAATGATAGAAAATGAGGATATGGTGAATGAAAAGTAACCTGCTCAAATTTCAGAAAGTTACATGTGTGTATACAGTATAGAAATACCTGCTTGAAAACAAGTAATTGCTTCATTAATCACTGGAGACTTTTATAAAAAAAAATAATAATAAGGGATGGTAAATGTCTATTGATTTAGCAAATAGTAAAATGATATTTACCTGAAGTAATGGCAAATTATAGATAGTATAGTATATGAGACTTATGAGAAATGTAATAGAAATATTTACCATTTCTCTGTCGCTTGCAAAACTTGCATTTTTGATTCACTATAAGTCACTTAATACAGTTGAAATCAGAATTATTAGCCCCTCTGAATTATTCTCCCCCCCTTTTTTTCCCTCAATTTCTGTTTAACAGAGAGCAGATTTTTTTCAACACATTTCTAAACAATAGTTTTAATAACTAATTTCTAATAACTGATTTATTTTATCTTTACCATGATGACAGTAAATAATATTTGACTAGATATTTTTCAGGTCATTTCTATACAGCTTAAAGTGACATTTAAAGGCTTAACTAGGTTAATTAGGTTAACTAAGCAGGTTAGGGTAATTAGCCAAGTTATAATGTATAATGTATAATGATGGTTTGTTCTGTAGACTATCGACAAAAAAAAAATCAGCTTAAAAGGGCTAATAATTTTGTCCTTAAAATGGTAGTTAAAAATTAAAAACTGCTTTTATTCTAGCAGAAATAAAACAAATAAGACTTTCTCCAGAAGAAAAATATTACCAGACATACTGTGAAAATTTCCTTGCTCTGTTAAACATCATTTGGGGAATAATTAAAAAAGAAAAAGGGGCGAATAATTCTGACTTCAATTGTGTATATATATATATATATATATATATATATATATATATATATATATATATATATATATATATATATTTGATGAGTGCTGGATAAACGTTCTTCACCTTCAGTATTTATAAATAAAAGCCTTGAAAATGACCAGATATTTAGGAGAACTCCTATATTTCACATTTGGTATAAAAAGTATGCAAAAGTTTTATTATTGTTGTTTTAAAGAACATGTTTTGCATTAAGTTAATGTACAATAAGCAGCCTTTTGTAATTTTTAGCCTTCAATAACAGCTATAATTCTAATAATAATAGTAATAATGATATTACAATTGCAATTTCAGTACATTTAAAATATATTGATTTTTATTTCATATTTATTAAATAATCATATTTGCTATGTTGTATAATGTAAGAAAAAATGCTGGGTTCCACACAATACCTTCACGTTGTTCCAACACAAATCGATAATGTTAACTTAATCATTTGTACAAATTCAAGTGGGTTATACATAAAACAATTAAATTAACCTTAAAATCGTGTTTATACAACTCATTTCAAATAAGTAGTTTAAAAAAGCAGCAAAAATAATTTTTTGATGTTTTTTGTGTAAAGAAAAAACCTTTATAATTGTTTCCTTTCATAACATTTTAGATATTAGACACCAGAAATGGCATCTAATTATTTGCTATCTGGTGTAAATTCAAAAACTGATTTAAAATGAATTATTTATATTCTGACCTATTATAATTTTAATACAATTTTTCATATATTTTGTATATCCATGTATGGTTTAGCAACATTTAATCTTCAATAATGATTCATAACAGCTATAGTATAAAATAAATAAAATAATCAGTAATTATAATATTGCCTGACAACAACAAGAACAACAATGAGAATAATAATAATAATAAAAAAATTCATTTATAAATAGCTCATTTCCCCTTTCTGTTCACCTTACAACAAACATACCAAAAACAGTTAATAAAACAATGTCAAACATCATTTCAAACATGAATTTCATATATAAGAGATGAGAAAGTTTTAAATATGAACCCCTGTTAAATTTAAAATAACAGGATAAAAAAATAGTCATGAGAAAGCGATGTCATAACCCCATGACATAAGACAGTCATAACCCATATCATAAGAATGACAACTTAGGTGTTATCTGGTATAAATTAAAAATGTACTATAATTATTGTAAAAAACCTATTTGAATAAATCTTGTATGAGCTTCAACTTATTTAATCAAAAATTGCCCTTAATGATAAGCAAAAACGACAATAATAATTATAATAAAAAAGTTCACTCCTCTAGACATGTGAAGCTCCGCCACTTTTTAATGCATTTTAAAAGACATCTAAAGTTGCAGTCAGTGGTGGGCAGTGCCACTCTTGCCAGTGGACTGGAGAATAAATGGTCATCTTTAATGAGTTTCTCTCTGTCTGAGGTGAAAGTGTTTGGCTGGTAATTAATGAAGAGAGCGTGATTTACGATGCTCTGTGTGACCTGAGGTTACAGGCAGCGTTTGTTTTCCTCACAGCGGGTCTGTTTCACCCCCGCCGGCAAACGCAGAGATGATCAGCAATATTACTGTTATCTGCTGACCAGAGCTGTGTTTGTGTGGATCTGCTCAATAACCGCTGATACACACTGCTTTTTTCTGCTCTATATACAAAGTTGTTTATAGTTCTGTTGCAATTTTTTATTTTATTTTTTTTTTTTAAGTTTGTGGAACAAATAAAACAAAAACTGTATTCTTGGTATAAAACCTCTCTATACAAACTGTATATAAACTCTATATATTATAATATTATATTTTTTATGTATTTGTAAAAACTAGTTGACGTTCTCATTTCTTATATTCTTTTAGTTTACTTGATTTACTAAAATAAAACTACTAAATATATTAATATACAAGTTTTTAAAAATATGAATAAACCAACTGAACAAAACAAAAAAAAACAAACTATTTTTTGTTGAAATTAAAACTAAAAGGCAAGCGTGAAAAAGTAATAAAATCTAAACCGTATCTCAAATAAATTCCAAAAATGTTGCCGGACAGACAGACAGACAGACAGACAGACAGACAGACAGACAGACAGACAGACAGACAGACAGACAGACAGACAGACAGACAGACAGACAGACAGACAGATAGATAGATAGATAGATAGATAGATAGATAGATAGATAGATAGATAGATAGATAGATAGACAGTTTGTTAAATTTGTAAAAACTAATAAATCAACTAAATTTCTTCATTTTGTCTCAACACAAATCAATAGTGTGGAACCCAGCATTTTTACAGTGTAGATAGACAGATTTTTCATAATTGAATAACATGTTTCTGTCTTGATTTTTTTACGATCTTTTATAGGTTACGGCACGGTTGCTTTTGACGGCGCCTCAAACTATGGCCACACGCCTTCACACCACACCCCGCAGTTCCCCAACCACTCCTTCAAACACGAGGACTCAATCACACAGCAGAGCAACATGGGTAAACACAAACACACTACACACTAAATCACACTTTATTATATTTATTTAAACGCATGCACTGAAAACAGCTTCCAATCTCCAAACATTCACCCTCGCTCTATGAACTTACGCAGTGATCTCTGTAATGTTATTTAGGGGCCAAATTGCACAAAGCGTTACAGTAAATCAGCTCAAACGCTCTCTCTCTTCCTCTTTATAATCTTAAACTTCAGCAAACAGCTAACCGGATGATTGGCTGTTCGAGTTGCATCTGTAATGTGAGATTCAATCCGTTTACAATAATACATACATATATATATATATATATATATATATATATATATATATTTTTTTTTTTTTTTTTTTATAATTTTATTTTCTTTATTACAAAAGTATAAATTAGTTTTATATTTTATCTTATTTCATAATTATTTAAATTTTACATATGAATACAAAATACATAAATACAATCATATTTTTAATATTATTTAAATTAACTTATATTTTAGTGTTTATGTGTATAACATCTGGGCAAAGCAGTGGCACAGTAGGTAGTGCTGTCGCCTCACAGGAAGAAGGTGGTTCAATCCTTGGCTCAGTTGGCGTTTCTGTGTGGAGTTTGCATGTTCTCTCTGCGTTCGCGTGGGTTTCCTCCGGGTGCTCCGGTTTCCCCCACAGTCTGAAGACATGCGGTTCAGGTGAATTGGGTAGGCTAAATTGTCCATAGTGTATGAGTGTGTGTGTGAATGTGGGTGTGGATGTTTCCCAGAGATGGGTTGCGCCTGGAAGGGCATCCGCTGCGTAAAAAATGTGCTGGATAAGTTGGCGGCTTAATTTGCTGAGGCGACCCCGGATTAATAAAGAAACTAAGTCGACAAGAAAATGAATGACTGTATAACATCTTGTAATTATTTTAGATTTTAATATTTGTGACCTCAATACAGTATTAATTACATTATTTTTTTTTGTTTGATAAAATAATTAAATGCCTATTTCATGTTAATAAAAAATATCAACCTTGTATTATTATTATAATAATTATTATTATCTTTATTTTAGACTCTTAGATGATATCCAAACACATAACAAAACACACACAAAAAAAAAACATACAATCATAAATAGACATTATTATCATCATGATCATCTTTGTTGTTATTATACATTTTTTTAAGTTGGCCTATTATGCAAATATACTTTTATAAGGTGTTTAAACAGTTGTGTGGCAACAGTCTGTGACTATAACCAGCTTCTAAGGTTAAGAAAATGATGAATTCTTTTTTTCATAGTCACACTTGATAAAAACGGCGTGCAGAAACACTTTGATTGACATTTTCTCTTTGTACGTGTCATCAGAGAGGGAAAGCCCCGCCCATTAGTGAAGATCTCTCCCTCATTAGCATAGGATGTTAGTTTTGTTTTTGAATCTGCCATTATGCTGACACAGGCATTTGTTAATCCGAGCACTTTTTAAATGAACACAATTTTATTTAAATTTAAAGCGACAGTCACCAAAACGGCACAATTGGGAACAATGCTTAAAAGGGGCAGTTTGAAAGAGTTTGAAAACATTATCTGTGGAGTACTTTGAGCTGAAACTTTACATACACACTCTAGGGACCTCAGAGACTTATTTTACACCTTGTAAGAAGGGGCATAATAGGTTCCCTTTAATTGATATCAAAGTCTGGATGCACCAGAAGTCATTTATTTCAGTAAGATGACATATATGAAACTAAATATTGAGTATGGGTGGGTTTTTGTTTTTGAGCTCCTCTTCTTATCTTTCACTCAAAGCAAACTAACTGTTGGAAGGGCATGGCTAAGCATATTTCACCCAAGCTGTTGTCATCAAACTGATGTCATCAACAATTGAGGGTTTTGATTAAAGATTACCAAAGCAAACAGTTTTTTAGTGGATTAACTTGTGTTGCACGGATTATTTGTTCATCTAAAGACTAAAATATGCACTAGCAAAATAAACATTGTAACTTTGTATACATTTTGATTTTATGCTCACTTTAAAATGTAAGTTTTATACACATTTAAATATTTATTTTTGTTTATTTTAGATTTAAATACAATTTATTATGATATCTTAATACAGTTTAATGTTCATTTTGTAGACATTTTGACTGCACACTTTAAAATATAAGTTTTGTATAGATTTAAATATTTTTGTTTATTTTAGATTTAAATATAATTTATTATGATATCATAATACAGTATTACTTCAGATTAAATTTGTTCAATATAGGTGTCTTTTGAAAAAAATAGAGAATCATAAACAAGGCTTATCTATCTATCTATCTATCTATCTATCTATCTATCTATCTATCTATCTATCTATCTATCTATCTATCTATCTATCTATCTATCTATCTATCTATCTATCTATCTATCTATCTATCTATCTATCTATCTATCTATCTATCTATATATATATATATATATATTCATTCATTAATTTATTCATTCATTTTCTTGTCGGCTTAGTCCCGTTATTAATCCGGGGTCGCCACAGCGGAATGAACCACCAACTTATCCAGCAAGTATTTACGCAGCGGATGCCCTTTCAGCCGCAACCCATCTCTGGGAAACATCCACACACACATCCACACACACACACTATTATCAGACATACTGTGTCTACTTGCTATTTATAGCCTGCCTGAATTATTAGCCCCCCTGTTTATGGTTTCCCCTAATTTCTGTTTAACGGAGGGAAGATTTTTTCAACACATTTCTAAACATAATAGTTTTAATAACTCATTTCTAATAACTGATTTGTTTTATCTTTGCCATGATGACAGTAGATAATTTTTTATTAGATATTTTTCAAGACATTTAAAGGCTTAACTTGGTTAATTAGGTTAACTAGGCAGGTTAGGGTAATTAGGCAAGTTATTGTATAACGATTGTTTATTCTGTAGACTATCGAAAAAAAAGGGGGCAAATAATTTTGTCCTTACAATAGTGTTTAAGAAAAAAATTAAAAACTGCTTTTATTCTAGCCTAAATAAAACAAATAAGACTTTCTCCAGAAGAAAAAATATTATCAGACTTACTGTGAAAATTTCCTTGCTCTGGTAAACATAATTTGGGAAATGTTAAAAAAAGAGAAAAAAGGAGGGCTAATAATTCTGACTTCAACTGTGTGTGTGTGTGTGTGTGTGTGTGTGTGTGTGTGTGTGTGTGTGTGTATATTCCTATAAAATTTCTAACTGCACGACTTGTTGTTCACTGTGCCTCATAAGTGCAAGATTCCTCTGAAACACCATGGGACACATTTACAATAAAGAGGCCGGATGAACCGAAGCGGCGATTCCTCAGTTTGCTCTTTGAAACAGAAAGAGCGAAAGGTCTGCGTGTTTTATGGTTTCGAAGAAAGTCAGTCTGGTGTTTTGATAACTGTTAAGTGTACTCGGCTGCGTCTTCATAAGCCTCCCTCGCGCTCATATTGCCTTTGTACGATGCTCTATGGCACACATGTTCAATCAGGCGTCTCAAAGTTATGATACGCTGAGCATCGAGCCATGGAGATTCCCCATGAGGGACTCAAGACAAACAGAACACAAATGTTCATTCCTGGTAATTAAACTTCAGAGAATTATTAAAAAGGAAAGTAAATATGAGTGGTGTTGCGCAAGGTGGAATGAATGTTTTTTTTGTACTGTACTGTACTGAATATTTGACATTTTTATAAAATCAAAATGTGTGTGTGTGTGTGTGTGTGTGTGTGTGTGTGTGTGTGTGTGTGTGTGTGTGTGTGTGTGTGTGTGTGTGTGTGTGTGTGTGTGTGTGTGTGTGTATATATATATATATATTTTTTTTTTTTTTTTTTAAGTTTTTGTCATTCTTTTGGGTAATTATTTATTTATTTTTTTGTTGCTAAAGGTCTGCTTAATTTTGTTTTAGTTGTGGTTATTTTTATTATATTAACTTTTTAAACCATAAGATGACACAAAATATAAAACAATATATTTTTAAATATGAAATGTAAAAACATATTTAACATAATTAATAATATTTTCTAAATTACGATCTTTATAAAATGTTTACTGCCTATATTAATACTTTTATTTAAAAAGACCATGAAAATATAATAATAAAAATAATAATAATAAAAAATAATAATAAAAGTTACTTTATAAAGTTTATTTTACAGTTTAAGTCAATAGTAAAAAAATAATAATAATGGTCACACTTTACAATAAGGTTGTATTAGTTAAGGCTAGTTACAAACAATAAACAATACATTTACTGCAGTGTTTATTCATCTCTTGTGAATGTTAGTTAATTGTAAAAAGTTAACTCAGTACATTAATTAATTTTAACAAACAAGAATTTGGATTTTATAATGCATTAGTAAATGTTGAACTGTGATTAATAGAGTCCTAGTATTAATCATTATTACTAACATTAACTGAAACCTAACATTAAATAAAACCTTATTGTAAAGTGTGACACAAAACTGTAATTTTTAAAAATACAAATGATAATACAATTGTTAATATATCATTGTTTAAAATACAATATACAGTTGAAGACAGAATTATTAGCCCCTCTTTGAATTCTTTTCTCTTTTTTTTTTTTAAATATTTCCCAAATGATGTTTAACAGAGCAAGGAAATTTTCACAGTATGTCTGATAATATCTTATCTTCTGGAGAAAATCTTATTTGTTTCACTTCGACTAGAATAAATGCAGTTTTTAAAATCCATTTTAAGGTCAGCAATATTTTTGTTTTGATTGTTTTGTTTACAGAACAAACCATTGTTATACAATAACTTGCCTAATTACCATTACCTGCCTAGTTAAACTAATTAACCTAGTTAAGACTTTAAATTTCAAGCTGTATAGAAGTGTCATGAAAAATATCTAGTAAAATATTATTTACTGTCATCATGGCAAAGATAAAAGAAATGAGTTATTAGAAATGAGTTATTAAAACTAGTATGATTAAAAATGTGTTAAAAAAAATCTGTTCTCCATTAAACAGAAATTAAGAAAAAAATAAATAAACAGCGCCAATAATTCAGGGGGGGGGGGGGGGGGATAACATTCTGACTTCAACTGTATATTATTATTATATGTGTCCAATACGAAATTGTTACATAATATCAGAAGCGCAGTAGCTCATGTACAAGATGTGATCTCCAAGTCAGACCTGTTCTGTTTGTTTCAGGGGATCAGCAGTATCCCGTTCCTCCTCCAGTGTATGGCTGTCACACTCCTTCTGACAGTTGCACAGGAAGTCAAGCTCTGCTGCTGAGAAACCCATACAACAGGTATATCATCATCATCATCATCAAAACTATTAACATCGTCATTATTATAGAGCACACAACATCTCAGCTAGAGTTTTCCAAATATGACCTAAAATCAAGAAATTTCTTGATGTTTATGGTGATAATATCTATGAAGAAAAAAGTTTTTGAAAAATTACCTTTAAAAAAAAAAGAATTATTGCGTTTTGATTCGTATAATTTAAATAAGTACTCTAAAGTCACCTGGATCACAGTAAAAAGATGCAAACGTTTGCATTGCAAACATTTATGAAGACGTCATTAAGTCCACATGAACCGGAAGTTGCTGAGACTTTTATTTCGGTATATTGATGTACAGTATGGACTTCCAACTTAAACGAAATATTGAGTAGGGGCGGGGCTATCTTTTTGCACTTCATTCCCTTATAGCAAACTAATGGGAAGAGGAGCGGGGTTAATATTGTGGCGGAAATCTTCAAACTGACCACGACTCCAAACATGGAAGCAAATGGTCAGACTTTGACTGATAGATTACCAAAACAAACATTTTTTATCTTTGTAGATTATAGTGCATGGATTATATGTTCACCTATCTAATAACAATTGTGTACTAGCAATATAAACATTGTACATTATCATTTTACACAGACTTTGGGCCCTGCCATACACCCGGCGCAATAAGGCGCAAGATGTGTTTGCCACAACGTGTTGCTATTTTCAGACCAGCACAACTCTAATTTTCCCGTTTTGCACTACGTTGTTTAAATAACAAATCTATTTGCACCACTTTGTGGACTCATGAGTGTTCCGGTCCAGAAAAATAAGGTGTTAAGATGCAGTGTTGGCATTATTTTGAGGAACTAAAATAGACTCCTCAACAGACCGGCTAAAAGCAGGTCTAAAGTCCAGTGCAGAGCACCTTAAATGTGCGCCTCGCCTACACATTGGTTTAAACATCCAGAATGTACCCCAGTACACATATATCTGTACAAATGAAAAAGAATCAAAGGAACCAAACATTACGAAAGCTATTATTTTCTACACAAATGTAAAAACCATTGCCTTCATGTCTTCTTCATCTCGGGGGGCTTTTTAAGTTTATTCAAGACAACTTGCTTTTGTTTAATGTTATTTTTATTCATTCATTTATTTTCGGCTAAATTAAGGGGTCGTTACAGTGGAATGAACCGCCAACTTATCCAGCACATGTTTTACTCAGCGGATGCCCTTCCAGCTGCAACCCATCTCTGGGAAACACCCATACAAACTTATTCACACTTGTACACTATGGACAATTTAGCCTACCCAATTCACCTGTACCGCATGTCTTTGGACTGTGGGGGAAAACAGAGCAGCCGGAGGAAACCCACGTGAATGCGGGGAGAACATGCAAACTCCATACAGGAATGACAACAGACCCAGCCGAGGCTCGAATCAGCGACCTTCTTGCTGTGAGGTGACAGCAATACCTACTGCGCCACTGCGTCGCTCTGTTATTATTATATTACTTTTATTTATTATATGCAAATTTATATTTGTTTTATTAAAAAAAACAAGCTTAGATTTGTCCCCCTGTCAGGTTTTTGACCATATGGGGCATAAGAATAGGACGTGTGTTTGGATATAACTTTTTTTTTTGACACCACTTTGTTATTATTGTTCATTTATTCGTTTGCTGGAAACTAAAGCTGAATTTAGAAATAGTTCAAAACAAATCTTTGTGCTTAACCAATGAAGTTAATTATGTAGGCTAATGGATGTCTTCAGTGGAGTTTGCTTATCCATGAAAAAGACAAAGAGAAAATAAAGAGGCCAAATGGATGCTCTGTTTAAGTGTTTTCTCACTTTTGAAGAATTCAGTTTTTCTGCCATGTAAATAAATAGCAAATGCACCATGGCATGACACAACTGACTCTTAAAAGGAATGGGAGACGAGACTCTGATTGGTTTATTCTCAAAACACATCTATAACTCATTACATTAAGAGAATAAATACAACCCTGTTAGAGCGTTTGCCGTGGTGCAGAGCCTATTTTTTCATCTTTAAAATAGCAAAAGTGTATTCTGACATGCCCTTAATGCTATTGCGCCCTGCGCTTTAGACTTTGCACCTAGATTGGTAAAAAAGATCCCTTTGTCTTTTGAATGCAAAATTATGCAAAAACCTGAGAAGTTTTTGTCTGCATGTAGGACCCGTTAACAGATTTGCTGCATCTCCAATACATAAGAAATGTGGAGGATGTGATGAGATGATTCTCAGGGAAAGTAACTATGCAATGGAACAGTCCATTAGGGCACCACCAAACCATTCTTCCAAAAAATGCTCAGCTGTGATAATTTCTCTAACTGTTGAAGTTTAAAATAATAGCTCGGTGCGTTACGTAAAATGGTTGCTCGGTGCCTCGCCAGGCAATTCCATTGAAAAAAAAATGACAAAGTTGTTATAACAAAGTTGTTGATCTGTTAAAAACTCAAAAGTACATACTTTTTATTCACAAAAAAAACAGTATCTAATTTAAGGGTGAAGTATAAGTTAGGCAAATTGGGATGCAGCTTTATCATGGACAGAACTTTTACTGGTATTTGTCCATCCATAATCTCAAATTTTTCTTAAGTATGTTCATCACTCTCTCTCTCTCCCTACATAATATAAACATCATCCTTATCCTCCGCTAGCACACTAACAACTACTGAAATAACAATTCTGTGCCAAAAACAAAACCGAAAATTCAGAATGTGCTTGGCCGAAAACCAAAAATCTACATAACAGCGTTATATAATTGATTGTAATAATATTAAACCAGAATTACTGAAACGTAATTAATCTGAAATGAGAAACTACAAACTAATAAAATTAATCACACATTGGAACAGAGCAAATAAGCATCAGAACAAAACATTTTAGAACAAACTGAAATATATTACACTCCATTCAGTTATTTTCAGCATAATCAAACTGAGCATAACTACCGTCCAAAACAGTTTTTAGGCTAAACAAATGCTCTCAATGTTTTCCCTAGCCCAAAAACAGACTACATGAAATGCAATATGTATCCTAACAGATATGGAGGAAATGAGATATTCCAGTAAAAAAAAAAAAACATGCACTCAATTCATCCAGACAGGCTGCAGACGGTACGACTGATAGTTTGTCAGGACACAGGAAGTTCAACTAAACAGGCCTGCGCAACAATCAGAAACACGTCAAAATCTGTTGTTGTGGTCGATCCAAAAAGTCACGCTGCCATTGAACACGTAGAGGAGGAGAGGAAGTTTGGTAATATGAAAAGGAGGAAAAGGAGGAAAACTGGTTCGTACAGGATGTTCGAGTAAACTTTCTGCAAGGATTTCAAAAAGAAATGCATTCAAAAAATACACTACGGTTTAAATGTAAAAGGTCATTCATTCATTTATTTTCTTTTCGACTTAATCCCTTTATTGATCAGGGATAGCCAAAGCGAAATGAACCGCCAACTAATCCAGCATATGTTTTATGCAGCAGATGCCCTTGCAGCCGCAAACCAATACTGTAAACACCCATACACTTGCATTTACACACATACACTACGGCCAATTTAGCTTATTCAATTCACCTATAGCGCATGTCTTTGGGGGAAACCAGGTGAAAACCCACATGAACACGGGAAGAACATGCAAATTCCACACAAAAAATGCCAACTGATCCAGCCAAGGCTCAAACCAGCGACCCTCTTGCTATGAGGCGAGCAAGAGGGTCTTGCACTTAGCCTTGCTTGCTAAGTGCTACTCACTTCGTGACCAAGACGCCCTAAAGGTCATTCAAATTAAGTTAATTTCTTAAGCTTAAATAATACTACTAAAATATTTTTTTAACAAAATACATCAAAATTGTAAATAAAAATTTGAGTTAAGAAAACTAATCTATATGAGTCCTGTAAACTTACACCATTTAAGTTGAAGTAATAAGGTATTTGATTTACTCTTTACCTTTAACTCTGAATTTAAAACTCTTCTCAAGAATTAACTTTCAGTTAATTTTGAGTTTTAAAAATATAAAATATATGTAAATTAAACACTTTTACTAATCGTCTTTCTGACAGCTAACATTCATCCAGTATAATCCGAACACTAACCACTTACAAATAATAATAATAATAAAAAACTTGTATTCTGAACTTTCAATTTCTGAAAAAAACTGAATTTCCCAATAAATGGTTAAACACAACCCCTAAACTCTGACAGTTGTTAAAAATCCCCAAACTGATCCCATTTGCTTTGACATACCATTACCAAATCAAAACGGGCTTTTGTCAAACATGCTTAATAAAGGTCAAGTGCCAAAAAAGCAATGCCAAAATCACGCTTAAATCCTCCATCCGTTTGCACTTCCCAACAGCTCTGAATTCCTTCATTCTGATAAGTGTTTCACCGTTTCTTACTGGAATTCCCTTCACAACATCATACAAACTTACAGCCCTGAAATCATCTCGCATTCCTCGCATGCTTTCGCCATGTTGTTTTTCCAGCACAGAGGGAACATAAAGATTCAAAATAACAGAATTTGGGATGATAAGAGGACTCCGACTGCGTTTTTCCTTTGCCTGTAATAAACAGTCTCCTATCGGGGCGGCTGCGAATCCTCAAATCCCGACACTGTGCTGCTTTTTGAATCAAATGCCTGGTACCCACAGCCCTGTATTTACACAGGGCCTCTGGTTTGTAGGTAGCGCGAGGTGGCTGGAATATAAAAAACACGAGCAGATTTTTAAAGCAGCATTAAGTTGTTGTTAATCTCAAAGGCAGATGGAGTGTAAACTGTTCGCAATCTACAAGCTTCCTGCGTCTCTGCTGCGTCAAAAGTGAAAAACAAAAATCCAGACGCATGTTCACATGAGCTGCCAGAGCTGAAATTATCATATGTGACCAGTGGATCTTTAACAAGGAAATATTATTTATTACAAGTTTACAATAAATGATGATTAATTTACTAACATGAATAAGCAAACTGGGGCGAGTCAGTGGCACAGTAGGTAGTGCTGTCGCCTCACAGCAAGGTCACTGGGTCGCTGGTTCAAACCTCAGCTCAGTTGGCGTTTCTGTGTGGAGTTTGCATGCTCTCCCTGCCTTCGGGTGGGTTTCCCCCACAGTCCAAAGACATGCGGTACAGGTGAATTGGGTAGGCTAAATTGTCTGTAGTGTATGAGTGTGTGTGTGGATGTTTCCCAGAGATGGGTTGCGGCTGGAAAGGCATCCGCTGCGTAAAAACTTGCTGGATAAGTTGGCGGTTCATTCCTATTTTAGAGTTTTTTACAGCATAATCTAAAACAAGGGTTAACATTGTAGTAATAAGTGCTGGACAAGTGTTATTGGTTCCTAATATGTTCGATATAAATATATCAACTAACATTAACTGAAGGAACTTTATTAAATTGTGTGACCAAAATATTACAGAGTAATCTTATAAAAGTATAAATAAAAGATGTGTATAAGTATAAACAACTGCAATTTATTCTGTGCACTACACAAATTCATGCAAATCCTAGTGTTTTTTTTACAGTAAAATACTGTTTACATTTATAACAGCAAAACACTGGCTATTTTAGAGTTATTTACCGCATAATCTACAGCAATGGTTAACAGTGTAGTAATAAATGCTGAATAAGTGTTATTCATTCTAAGTATATGTTCGATATAAATATATCAACTAACAATAACTGAAGGAATTTTTTTGAAATGTGTGACCAAAATATTACAGGGTAATCTTATACTGCAATTTATTCTGTGAACTACACAATTTCATACAAATCCTACTTTTTTATTACAGTAAGTACTGTTTCTTTTTATTACAGCAAAACACTGGCTATTTTAGATTTATTCACAGCATAATCTACAGCAAGGGTTAACGGTGTAGCAATAAATGCTATAAAAGTGTTATTCATTCCAAAGTTGTTCATTCTTAACTAATGGAACGTTATTAAAGTGTGTGACCGTAACATTCCGGGTTAATTTTATAGGCGTTTACAATAATTCTTCTGTTGATTTTTTTTTTTAGGCTTTATAGTTTAAGATGTTACTTTGTCATGGAAGTAGATTCCAAAATTCGTCACAATGATATGTCTTTACAACCAAAAACATTAGTAATTCATCCAAGATCAAACAAAAAGTGCTTCAATGGTAATTAATGTGTGGGTTCTCTTTGGGTAAAGGGATTTATATAGATAAATGGTAAAATGTTAATAAAAAGTAAATAAAATATTTAAAAAGCCTTTATTAACGTGGCTAATCCATAAAACATTGCGGCAAACACTTGCCTTCAAGGTTACCCTGAAACGGGTAGGTGCATTTTTATGGATTAGTAATGTTAATAAAGGCTTTTAAAATAATTTTTCACAATTTTTCTTCTTTGACGTCAATTTTTGTGACGTCATTTTCGCATTTTAAGGAATAATAATAGGTATTTCTTGTGGCTTTATGTTTAAAATGTATATTATTTTTAAATGTAGAGTTTGGCTCTATCATAAAAAAACACTTTTATTAATTATTCTGTTTAATTTTAGCTGCAAAACTGCATTAAACTATTGTCATTTTTGATTTAAAAATTATTTGGTACTAGGTTTTCTAAAGTTATAGTATATTGTATTAAATCAGCAAATGGCTTCACACAGAAAACAAAGTGATTAAATAATGCAGGTTGTTGTACGGCATGTGACTAATCTTTAGAAACTGCATTTTAACATTTACAGTTTGCCTCTCTTTACTTTTACTGGAAGTGATTCAATGTATTGATTATGAAAATGGATTGAAATAAGTATTTTGGTGTAAAAAAACTCACTTTAACTTAAAATACTTCTTAAACATGTCAAACACAAATGCATAAATTTGTCATCTAGTGTAATTTGCTTCTTTAGTCAGAATTTTCTCCCTAAGAAAAACCCTCTCTCGATGCTAAAATACTGTTAGGTTCCATGGGCCATGAAGCAAGCGCAGTACCAGGTAGTACCAGTTCATACAACCATACGATGATGAAACACTATGATGTCAGAGTTGCTGTAGATAAATCTAAACTATGTGTTTGGGTGAGCACCTGGCAGGGTAACTGATGGCCCTCCGGACAGGCTTTTAATAACATATGGCAGGTTTTTGGTCAGAGCGATGACCTGATTAACCGATCACCCTGCTGGTTTGGTAACCCCCTTTTTTTGTGTGCATGCATATGACACATTCATTCCCTGTTACCCTGGATCCTAGGCTATTTTTCAAACACACATCCTTTACATTTGACAGAGGTTGCTGCTTTTTAATATACTGTAAAATACTGTACATGCATGCGTTCTTAAAAGGTGTTTTTGTTGTTTTCAATCCCAGCAGCGATAATTTATATCAAATGGCGTCACAGTTGGAGTGCATGGGGTGGAATCCTGTCAACTCTCTGGCGTCCACTATAAAGAGGTAGGTCAATGCGACCCGCTTCTGTCTTGTAGGAAATTCTTCTGAGATTTAAATAAGCACACATTCGCCTAGGCTGAGAAAAAGACTTCGTTTGAGCTGGTGGTTATACTGAGACTATAAATTGGGAATTATTTTGAGGGTCTGATAATGCATCAGAATTGGAGTTGGATTATGTGTGCAAACCACAATGCTTTGGTACATTGCCATGGATGTTGGAAAAGTAAATTCTTATTCATTACAAACTTCTGAAAACTAGCCAGATCACAATGAAAAAGGAGAGGAGAAAATATGTTTTAGTTACAAGCTGGATGTCAGAATAAAATGTGCTTTTCAATGAAGGAACTAGGGAAATGTGAGATAAAATCTGTTAGGAATTTAGAGGAAATAATTAAATTGTGAGAAAGTCAGAATTGCTGGATATAAACTCGAAATAGACATAAAATAATGACAGAATTGCAAGAAAAAGAAACTAAATTATTGGGAAAAGTCACAATTGAAGTGAGGAATTACAAGAAAATATGCAACACAGGCTCATTCAGAAAGCTTAGCTACTGTTTCTGGAGATTACGAATTATGTTTTTTTATTGTATTTGCTGAACATTTCCAGTTAAATGCATAACAAGTCTTACAATATTACACATTTTAGCATAACAAAGTTTAAAAAAGAAAAAAGAAGGAAATAAACAAATAAAGAACAAGAGAGGGTATACATAGAGAAGAGGAGTTTAGCTTTTGAAGTATTTTCACAGTTCTGATCGCTTTTCGACTTGAAGGTCCTTAAAGAGTTTCAAAATAAATTTTTAAATCAGCCTTGAAATGGAAGATGTTAGGCTTCCTCTCCGACCATTTACACTTGTGTATATAAAACTTGCCTAATAAAATCAAAAGATTTAACATAAACACGAGATTCTTACCTATATATTTTTTAGGGTTACGAATTATGTAGCCAGAGGATCGTATGGGTGCATTTCGTCTTTAAAACAAATTTTATGGGGTAGTATGACGCCGTTCCTTTTTACTCTTACCAGCTGACCGCTTACCTCCCTATGGTCATATACCTTCCTGATGTTACCCCTTTGTCCAGTTGCTCGCCATGTTTGTCGGCGGACAGTTGATCACGACAATAGGGTTTGATTCCAACAAAGAACGGTTCCTAGAAAGTGGGTAAGACAAAAACAGAAGCAAAAATAAATAAATAAATAAACAAGTAAATAACAGGGTGAGAGTGTGGTAAAATCTGAAAACTTGGTAAAAATCAGGCTGCTGCGAGCGCTTTACTTTTTCTGGATTGCTTTTTAAAACACTGTCAGTTGAGTTTAGGGAAGGTGGTGAGGTAATCGGTGATTTTGAAAACACTATTGATTGGATTTAGGAAAAGATGAGGGTGTGTCAATCGATTGACAGCAGCCTCTGGTGGATTTACGCAAGAACACCAGACGTAAATGGCACTCACGAGAGAAGTTTGAGATCAGAAAAAGTGAAAAAGTGCCTCTTGTGGATTCGTGAAAACTGCAAAAAAAAAAAAAAAAAAAAAAAAAAAAAAGAGTACCTCCTGGGACGGGTTTGGCACTCTCCAGAAATGTATATAGCGGTACGATATCAGAATCATTCTGAGTTGACAATAGGTTTGAATTGCAAAAAAAAAAATGCTATTACCATTTTTAATCTTATATTGTGAAGTTGTTTCCACAGATTACAGTTCACATTGCTCTCATAATTTATTTTTATGGAAAACAAAACAATAATGTAGTACAGTTCTGAACAGTTTAATCTGCTGACTTGTGTGAATGACTCCTATGGGTCATATAGTGAATCCAAGACGTACAGCACAACCATTCTAGTCTGATTCCTGAGTGAATGACTCATGAGTTGATTCATTTTAAAGAGTCAAAAACAAACACTTTAACTACTGTAGTCTTCTGCATGATTTCTGAATCAAACACATACAGCTTACCACAAACTTTTAAGGAACCTATGTGCTTTACAGTTTAAAAAGATAAGTACAGTAAAATTACATTTTTATTTATAGCCTCAACCAGACCAGGCTCTCAAACTCCCTCTCATGACCCCCTGCATCTTTCATCTCATCTCTCTGTTTGTGCCAGAAAGTAGCGTGTGCACATGCAGAATTAGCCTCTGTTTTGTCTGGCTAGAGAACGATATCCTGCCGTATATTTCTGCCAGTGGCATCTCAGCCTTGACCAGGCTGAGCGCTGGCCCGCCGGGAGGAAGGGAGCCGGGCAGGGGGGAGGTGGAAGTGCATCGGTGCACAATGGGACAGACTCTACTCCCTCTGGGACCCGAGCGAGAATCCGCAGTCACGTTCGGCCAGGCGGGGAGGAGGCTTTGACCTCTCTAAAAGAGTCGGAGGAGCCCTGGGTGACGGAATGATTCATGTGCTGATAAATGAGAGGGATGGGGCTGGTTTTGGTTGAGGTAAAATCAGACATGCTGATCGATCCCAAGAGGGCTGCCATGGAAGCCATGTTGTGACTCCTCAAGCTTAACTTAGGGAACATTTAGGTGACATAGATGTGAAGTTTCCCATTGTGTTTGCATATAGACAACATAGCCCATGTTTTTCAATGGTTCTGCAAAAATGACCAATAAGGCTGTATTATGCATGCCAGGCCAGTAGACAGTGCTGTCACTTTTAAAAACAAAACACTGTGCACATATAGTTCCATAGTTTGCTGTTGTTATTTTGGTTGTCAATGCACAAATTCTGACAATGAATTAAACCTTTAACTCCCGCTCTAAAAATAAAAAGCAACTATTTCTTTTGGTTGTTAAATTGTGTTGCTAACACCACTGAAATGTTGAAGTTTGTTTAAATAATGAACTTTGGACAAAAGATCAACATGGCGGTTAGAATTCTAGTTAAACGGCCAGTTAATATCAATAGTATCTGTAAGCAGCCTTTATATGCAAGCTGAGACTGCATCCCTCAGTGATGCAATGCCGGACACAATGCACTCAAATGAAGCGAGTGACATCACTGCGAGGGATAGGGTTAGAGGTGAGGTTAGGTGAGCCTTTAAAAAGCATTGGATGCAGCTCAGATTGCACTGCAGCAGGTCTGCATCCAGACCCCTCTCGTTAATATCACAATCCTATTTTGTAGCTATGATTTTTTTACTACAACAACCTCAATTTTAAGTTTTCTTCTGATCTGATCACACCCCAGTAAAAGGTTTGTTTAATGGCAGGATTAGAGATAGGCTTTTGAATTTGTGCAATCTCTCTTATTTTTGTCTTTCTCATGCTTTGCAGTAAGAACAGTAGAGATACAGTATGTCAGAAAAGTTGGAGTAGAGAGAGGAAAGTGGGATTGGCAAAGGACTGCAAAGCAGGAATCAAACTGGGTCTCTGTAAACGTAGTTGGGCTACATGTCTGTGTGTTTAACAATATGGATAGATGCAGGACAGAAGAATTTGTTCAATCTCAATTTCACGATCACAATTTTATACCTCAGAGAGTTATAAGTGGTTATGTTTGCAGTTGGGCCTAAATGCTTTTTTTATTTTTATAAAAATATAATTTTATACAAGTGACACTTTATAATTTCATGTGAAACTGGCCAACCCGATATCACAACATAGCTATTTTATGTTTTTGCGAATTAGCAGCTATTTAACGTTTTGCGAAATTTGTAAGAATTTGTGTAACCTGCTAACAGCAGGGGCAGGATTATGGGCAAACTTTAACACTTATGATTTCATATAAATTAGCCAACCAAATCTCACAATAAAACAACATTTTACACTTTTACATACAGTTTTTTTTACACACATCCACACCCTAAATAACTACCATTTTGTCATAAGCAGATCATATAAACTGTACAAATGAGATTATATGCATTTATACATATTAGTTGCTCAGCACACAGCAAAGGCGCAATGATCAGCAAAAAATATAAAAATAAAATAAAAGAGTGGGCGCTGACTGACAGCTGATAATTAAAGAGCGCCCTTTTCTCCATTCCTGTATTTATTATGTTTGCAGGATGTCATTTTTAAATTATTCCGAAATGATTATTCCGAAATGAAAGCGTCAGTCTGACTTCATTTGCTCTGGTTTTTAATGAAGCGCGACTCGCATTGACAGGTGAAAATCCGATATGCCTGCTTACACTGCAGATACCAGGACACAGATTTAATTTATATCAGATAAATTTCCACATATGAACAAGGTCTGAATTAGATTTGAGTAAATCAGAATCCATGTGATTTTTTCCTGCTTACATGTACATAGGCCATATACAATCTGTGCCACATGGGAGAAAAAAATTACAACTGAGTCACTTGAACTATGCAGTTTAAATGCAGCAAACTTCACACGGGTAAAAAGACTTGACAAACAACCTATAGGAGACACACTCTTTTTCCACTCCATATGCACCAGACACTTCCTTATGTTCTAGAAAAACTCTGTGAAATTCGGAGCGTGCTCCACATAGGTGAGTAAGCTTGACAAAGCACCTGTACAAGATGCACTCTTTCCTCTCTGCATTTACAGTTGAAGTCAGAATTATTAGCCCCCCCCCTGTTTATTTTTTCCCCCAATTTCTGTTTAACAGAGAGCAGATTTTTTTCTACATTTCTAAACATAATACTTTTAATAACTCATTTCTAATAACTGATTTAGTTTATCTTTACCATGATGACAGTAAATAATATTTTACTAGATATTTTTCAAAATGCTAGTATTTAGCTTAACTTGACATTTAAAGGCTTAACTAGGTTAATTAGGTTAACTAGGCAGGATAGGGTAATTAGGCAAGTTATTGTGATGGTTTGTTCTGTAGACCATCAAAGAAATATATTGCTTAAAGGGGCTAATAATTTAGACCTTAAAAGGTTTTTTTTTTTTTATTTATTTAAAAATGCTTTTATTCTAGCCAAAAGAAAACAAGTAAGACTTTCTCCAGAAGAAAAAATATTATCAGACATACTGTGAAAATTTACTTGCTCTGTTTAACATCATTTGGGAAATATTTAAAAAAGAAAAAAAATTCAAAGGGGGGCTAATAATTCTGACGTCAATTGTTTATACGTGTATGTTTATATGTGTGTGTGTGTGTGTGTGTGTGTGTGTGTGTGTATGTTTATACATTCGTGTGTAAGTGTATTTTTTAAATACAACTAAACCAACTTGCCATGGCATCAATATATTGCTGTTCTCTAGTGATCTGATTTTTTATAATAATTTGAAAGTTCTTTTGGATAAAAGCATTTGCTAAATGAATAAATATAAATGCTAAATTTCAGGTAACATCTAAAAAAGCATATTAGGTGCACTTTTAATGTTTTTGTTTTTTTTCGATTTCTATGATAAAAAAAAATGTGTGTTTGAAAAAAAAATTGTATAATTGTTCCAAACTTTTCACCGTTAATGTATCTATAGCTCTTTCCATACCTCCAAATCCCATGTCTGTCACAAGCCCAGGTTGGTTCGGCTTGAGTGAATGAATGAACTGTGAGAAGATTTACTGCAGGATGCTGTTCTGAACTGTCTTTCCGTCTGGCTAGCCTTGCATACAGACAAAGAGAACTTTATACCTCCTGAAACGCAATACAAAATTTGCGAAATTTTATTCAAGCCAGGGAACAAACTTCTCTGATAACAAAAAACAGATTCCAGACTGTGTGGTCTTTTCTCCAAAGGTGAAACACGGTGTAGAATTGTCCCGAGAAACGTGTATTTACAGCGTGACGTAAAAAAAGGCATACCGCTGAGGTTCAGGCTTAAGTTCAACAGTGAGCAAGACCATACATTCCCCATTCATCTCTCTGACTGGCCCTACCTCAAATGTTTGGGGCAAAATATTGCTCTTTGAAACGGGGAGCAATTTGCCCCAATGTCAGGATGAGTTACGAAGACATGGCTCTGTGTGTTTTATGGCTAGCAATGCCCTCTATATGTCATCCAAACTTTGTGAAATAATGCACGGGGAGATTTAGGAAGGACTTTATCTGCTGTCACTAGTAAATGGGAAAATTATGAGGTAGAATTACGTTTTGTGAACAACTACTTTAGGGTGGAGCATTTTTTGATGTTTTTACATGCTTAGTTGTGTTTTATACTCATAGAAAAAGACTCTAAGTGCAACCCGATGTATTATGTTAATAAGGAGGATTTTTCCATATTGTTTTTAAAAAAGGTATATTGGTCTATTTTAATACAGGTATATATACAATTGACACTTTTTGGGTTGAGTAATTTAGGGTTGTCTGTAAATTTAACTGAATATTTACTACCAATTTTCAGGCAAGGACATTATCTCTTTTTTCACACGTCTTACCTACCAAATCAACCAAATTAAAGGTGCAGTAGGTGATTGTTTTTAGAAACAGTGCTGGTTGACAATCCTTCACGTTCCAATAATAATGGTTAAAGTAAATGATATAAACGTATTTATATGTATTTTTATACTCTGGGTAAGGCGTAAAACTAAAAAAAATTTCATAAAATTAAAATTTGTCGCATCTAAAGTTCCCATAGTTCTGATAAGTAGCCAAAACTTTCAGTCAACAAATAAAGATTTGTACATCTGCACACCCATTCACGCAGACAGATCCGCCGTTTGTGCGTTCATGTGCACGAGAGTCACAGCAGTAAAAACAAATGCCAAATCAAAACTTTTTAAAATCCTGAATCAATATCGGATCAACAATTGGATGGCTGAAGTATTTCTTTTAGACAAGTAATGTTCTGTTTTAAAACTATTTTAGTCACGCAAAGCTGATGTAGATTGTGTTGTTTTACAAATAAGATATGCAGGGAAGTGTTGTTCAGCCCCTGAAATCGAAAGCTTAATGTGACTATTTTCAATTTCATAAGGGATCTTTTACAGCATCAATAATGTAGATTTTTATGTAGTTTAACAGCAAAACATAAGTAAATAGTGCTACTTTGCCTAGCCTGCTTTACTGAAGTGAAGTTGGTTTTATATTCACATCACATTGGTTTATTTTTGAACAATGACAACCTATGATGCGCTCCCTATTGTTTACCGCTACTTTAAATATTCGGTCTGAAATGGCATGTAAGTATGGCTTAGTAGTAAGTGTAATTCCTGCACGCCGCCAGCACAACAGCTAAGCATACATGAGAGAGTAATACCAGCGATCCTTGCATGCATGAAATATTGCACATTATGAAAGTTTTGTTTGCTACACAACTAAAATGTGCTAGATATAATACAAATTTTAATTTGGAAATGTATTATTATAAAGCACTATAATGTTTTATAACTGGCGAATGATATGATCTAGTGGACTGGCTACTGATATCTTTAGGGTACGTGACTTTATGACTTCAGAAGGCGACCCTTTGGACGGCAGGGGAGGGGCCGTGTTTTCAAAGCTATTAAGCTAATGGATAGCATTTTTGTAGATCACCTACTGCACCCTTAAGACTTAAAATGTTTAAAGGCAGCTAGTTTAAGTGCTTCTTAAAGCACACAAAAACAAAACAAAAAGTACAAATTATTAGTTTTATATTTCTAAAGTTTTTTGAATATTACAATCCCATTCTATGACTTTGTTTCTATTAACAAAGTTGTTTTAATATGTTTATGTAATTTCTATCTAGACTAACTAACCCAAATCTTTATTCATGATTATAAGCTAACAATTCTGTTGACTGTACAAGTAACCATATATTTTGTAAATCTGTATATGAATATCAACTATATATCAGAGTTTTTGTGGAGTATTAGTGGGTTGTAAAGCTACGTTACTTGCAAAGTTACTAGTCAGAATATCTGTTGGTGCGCCATCAAAATGAAATGTTAGCGGATAGTAAGCAGATACTCCAATACTCAAATGACCAGTTGACATGTGGTCAAAAAAAGACAATCTAAATTAAGTGTTAACAAAAAAGAAAATCAGCAAATTGACAATAACAAAATATTCTCCTATTTAAACACGAACAGCCATCCAGGAGGTTATGAGAGCGACCCCAGCACACCCATGGTCTACAGCTGCAGCACTCAGTACCGTATTCACACCCATGGCGTCTTCAGAGGCCTTCAGGTCAGTATCTCTTGCTCACGGCCCGCTTGAGTTCACTTTCAGGACAAACTGAGATTCTTTGTGCTCTTGGGATGTGCTCGCTTCGGGCCAAGGTCAGGCCATTACGTACAAAGACACACAAGCACTGGAGCACACAATCCTTATACAAAAGTTTGATTATACAACTTGCTAAAATGATGAACATCTCCAAAGAGAAATGCAAACCCCTAGATTTAGATACAGTGCCTTAAATAAGTCTTAAAATGCGAGACAAATGTAGTTTAGAAAGAAGGTGCCGAAGAAAAGTGACTGACGCAATGAGAAGGCTATGCGAGAGGAAGCAGGGCCCCTGCCAGAATAGTTGAGAGATTTGAAAGGCATTTCAGGATAAAAAGCGAAGAGGAATCACTTTAAAAAGTCCATTAGCCGCAAAGCTGCAGTTTCCAGTTGCCTGCTGCTAGCCCATATAAATCATTAGCTCTTAATTAATGTCTGTCAGCGGGCCTTAAAGCAGTAAAAGAAGAGATACTCCAGAGCTGCTCGCGTTCACAACGGGATACCTTTCTTCACTTCTTTGTTTACTCTTTCTCTCGTCGCTGTGTAAATGTATGATGGGCAACTCAGATTGTTTTTTTAATCTAAACGGATGTGTATGAGTAGATAGATAGATAGATATATATATAGATAGATAGATAGATAGATAGATAGATAGATAGATAGATAGATAGATAGATAGATAGATAGATAGATAGATAGATAGATAGATAGATAGATAGATAGATGGGTTGATAGGTAGACAGACAGATAGACAGACAGACAGACAGACAGACAGACAGACAGACAGACAGACAGACAGACAGACAGACAGACAGACAGACAGACAGACAGACAGACAGACAGACAGACAGACAGACAGACAGACAGACAGACAGACAGACAGACAGACAGACAGACAGACAGACAGACAGATAGATAGATAGATAGATAGATAGATAGATAGATAGATAGATAGATAGATAGATAGATAGATAGATAGATAGATAGATAGATAGATAGATGGGTAGATGGGTAGATGGGTTGATGGGTAGATGGGTTGATGGGTTGATAGGTAGACAGACAGACAGACAGACAGACAGACAGGTAGGTAGGTAGGTAGGTAGGTAGGTAGGTAGGTAGATAGATAGATAGATAGATAGATAGATAGATAGATAGATAGATAGATAGATAGATAGATAGATAGATAGATAGATAGATAGATAGATAGATAGATAGATAGATAGATAGATAGATAGATAGATAGATAGATAGATAGATAGATAGATAGATAGATGGGTTGATGGGTTGATAGGTAGACAGACAGACAGACAGATAGATAGATAGATAGATAGATAGATAGATAGATAGATAGATAGATAGATAGATAGATAGATAGATAGATAGATAGATAGATAGATAGATAGATAGATAGATAGATAGATAGATAGATAGATAGATAGATAGATAGATAGATAGATAGATAGATAGATCCTATCTAGATGGAGTTAAAACACTAATAACAGCTAATCTGAACATAACTGTCACCTACAAATCAAACGTAGCATGCTAGCCTGCAGAGCTGTGTAGCCTAGCCTGCTGTGTTATCCTTCCCGTGGGGTCAATTTAGACGTCTGCCACTACAGTCGTAGAACAGGTTCAGTAATTTACTTATCAATAGCACTTAACACTCATTCATTACTGTGCCAGCATACAGAAATGCCATTATGCTAAGCGCTAGTTAATTAAGAGCAGATGGGCTTCAGCAGCGGGTAAATGAGGGAAGCGGGAGGAACGGGGGAGCGAAGCGGTGAAATAAGGTCTGCCTAACGTCCGTGACTAACCGTTCACAGTTAGAGCTCATATCAGCAGCACGGGTGAATCGCAATGATCATTTCACAGCTAATTCTGCAGTAATGAAACCATTGGCCATGCTAATCATTAGCGGGTTTTTTTTTTTGTTTGTTTTTTTTTGCAGATGTCTTGTTTGCTGTGCAGCATTTGTCATAGCATTGAATTGAACATTGTTGATTTTCTCGCAGGATGTGCGGAGAGTACCGGGCATCACTCCTGCCATTGTGCGTTCAACCGAGACCAACGAAAAAAGGCCATTCATGTGCGCCTACCCTGGCTGCAACAAAAGATATTTTAAACTGTCGCACTTACAGATGCACAGCCGTAAACACACAGGTGAGAGATCCCACAGGTGCTATTGTATGTCATAAGCAAAATGCTAAGGTTGTCGTTAACATGTTTGGTTGTGTTGAACTCATAGGGGAGAAACCCTATCAGTGTGACTTCACAGACTGTGGTCGCAGGTTCTCCAGATCAGACCAGCTAAAACGACACCAGAGAAGACACACAGGTTTGCACCATTGTCCATTTTTGTATTTTCTTGTACTTCCTTCATAGCTGCTTGCTAAAGGACAACAAAAATCAAGTATTAAGAGCTACAGTAACTAACAAACAGGGAAACCTCTCAGATAGTTACGGTTAAAGGTTCTAAAAGTAACGTTAATAGAATGTTCATCCAAACATCATAGATTTGTTGTTTTTCCAGCATTTTAGTTGGACATTTTTCTATTGTGTTTTTAAAATGTTCCCCATGATTCAAAAGTAACCTTCATTTAATATTAGCAACTTTCTGAAATGGAACATTCCCATCGGGGGCCGTTCACACAGAATGCGTCTCAAGAATTGTTTTTTTTAAAGCGCCTCCTCTGCCATATTGCTGTCATATAAACAGATGTCATGCCTACTTGCTACTGTAAACAGAAGCTCAAAAGACTTGCCCTGCCTCAGGGTTCTTCTGATTGGTCTACTGCTTTGAAACTGACATTGATGAGTCATTAGCCCCTTTTAGACATACAGACCTTTTTGGAAAAATAACTAGCAATTTTCTGGAAAGGGATCATGTGAGAGCAGGCCCTTTTTGAAAATACCGGAAAATTTGTTCTTGCAATTTTTTGGAAGGAGAAATTATAAGATTACCAGTAATTTGCCGGAATGCTGCGCTGGGTGAATGCAGAAGAAAAATTGCCGGAAAGAACGCGTTCGCGATTAGAACACACTGACGTGAAACGTCTACTCCAGCCAATAAGAACATTCAGACACAAATAAAAACAAAAGCCTTTGAAATTTTTTTTTTTTTTTTTGACACATTTAACTACTAGATGTTAGTCAGGAAACTTTCTATGTTCCTTCTTAATGCCAACTGTGTAAAAAATTATCGATAAAATGCTTATGGTAATCCGGCTGTTTGTTTACCTTGACGCGTGTGCACATGAAGCAACCAGTGAGCGGCAGCACACATACATTGTGTACATCTCCACATGCGAAAGTGTTACCCATGTTTTCATTGAAGTTGCTCACAATATTTATCCATCTACAGAATTTGTAATGTCGTCAAATGTGTAAACATTTAGCAGCGTTCGTGCTTCTGCCTTTGGATGTCTCTGAGACAAAGCAGCTGTATAAATGCTAAAGCTTTGAAAAAAAGTGAAACCATCAGCAAAAGCCTGACACCTTCTATGTTTACAAATACAAGCGCAGCCGTTTAGAGTCCATTTTTGATTAATGATGTCAGAATTTACCGGTATTTTGGAAAGGATGTGTGAATGTCTTTTCTGGAAAAATTCCGGAACGTCTTTGTGTGAACAGCGCTTTTTTGAATTTACTGGTAAAGTCGTTCTGGTAATTTTCTGTATATTTACCGATATCCCTGTGTGAAAGGGGCTATTGACTGACTCAAGTGCAAGGAGTTCCAAAAGACATGAGACGCAACCATAATGGTCATGCTTATATCTGTCAAGCATGTGTTTACACAGAAAAACAATTGAAAAGTATCGCATTGGAATGAAAAAATGCAGTCTGTGTGAATGATCCTTAAATGTTTCTCTAACATTCACACAACCAAAAAAAAAAAACTTTCTAAAGCCAAAATGTTCAGAGAAAATTGACAATTAAGGTTTTCGTAATGTACTAAGAATGAAAGTTATAAGAAAGTGAAAAGTGTAAAAGTGTTTGTTAGTAAAAATAAGTGCACTTAGTTGTATTAAGCATTTAATTACATTTCCAGTTTATATAAATAAAACAGTACTTGAACATAACATTAACAAAATAAAAAGGTGCCTAAATGTACGTTAAAATGATTAAAATGGCAGTTTTTTGTCATATTTAAATACACATTTATAAACTAAAGTTTTCATTTGTAGTGTGTTTCAAATTTACAGTTGTACTGTAGAAAGTTGTAGTTGCACTTGTAGATATGTAATATTATGCAAAGGCCACTTTTTATAGCTTCTTAAGTACACTTTGATAATTATTTCATGCTATGAATTTGAACATACTATATATGTACATAATAAATAAATAACAAAATAAAAGAGTACACTTTAATGGCTGATAGAAATTTAAGCATGCAGTTGTAGTAGCATGATGCTAATTCCTCATATAATCTATAAAAAGGTGTGATAGCAGTCTGCACTTGTTGACTTTAGTTCAACTAAAAGTTTACATTTTCACTCGCGTTCCAAGTTTTCTGAATTCCTCAATCAAACACATTTAGCGTGAGTGTTTGCTGATGTATGGCTGAACAGGCAGGACTCTCTTGGTCTCACATACTTAATTTTTTTTTTTTTTTTTTGTGCTGACACATTTTGGCATGGCGTTTCTAGCCTGTGCCTCGTTCTGTTCTTGTTGTGTGCTTGTGTGTGTGTGACCACACTTGTGTGTTCCTGTTGTTGTGTGTGTAGGCGTTAAGCCATTCCAGTGTGAAACCTGTCAGAGAAAGTTTTCACGTTCAGACCACCTTAAGACCCACACCCGGACACATACAGGTAAAACAAGTGCGTAAACCTTTTCATTTTTTTCATGATTCGCTCCTCTCTTTCCACTCTTTGATTTAAAGTTGAATTTTTAGAGGTCACTTTTTTATCTCAGCTTGTACTGGGAAGTTATTAAAAAATATTTGCAGTGTTTTTTTTTATTATAGCTACTGGTTTTAGTATTCTCACTCAACTGTAATGGCTCTTTCCACTGAGTGGTATGGTACAGTACAGAACGGTATGGGTCACCTTTATCAGGCTTGCGTTTCCACTGCTAAAAAGGTACCAATGGTACTCTCTTGGTGGGAGTGGTGTACGACAGCAAGTTTCAGTAAACGTCATTCTCGCTCGAGAAAATGTATACAGTAAAGCTGTACTGGTTGTTAACATATCATATGAGAAGCACTTCTCACAAAGCATATACTTTATACACATAAATAATTCTGTATAAATGTTCATTACTAACGTTTCTATGAACAGGATTTGATTATCAACTGCAGATCAATCTTGTATAGATCTATAAAATATAACCTACAAAATAACCTACTGACGTCTACAATTACATAAAATAAATAAAAATGCAACATATGAACACATACAGGCTCTTACAGTCTCTGATTTGTTACAAATTACAGAAAAACTACACAGTATACATTTAGTCCTTATTTGGGTTCAAAAACGACACGCGACATATAGCCTACAGTCACTGTAAACCTCTCATCTATATCTTTATTCTTCACCAGCACATGTAACCTCTGTTAGAAAGTAATTCCATCATTCTGAGTTCATAATAGTCCAAAAGGTGATAGTTAAACGTGGCAGTTTGTTCATGATTGCATTTTCGTGAATCAGTCTTGCGTTTGTTCGTTTCTGATAGGGTCAGATGTCAGAAGCACTTCAATAATCAAATGCACAATATTATCATCAGCTTAAGAAGTTTATTTTAAATATAGATGCGCATCGAGCGCAAGCGAGAAAGTGATACCGCTCACGCTTTAGACAGCCATGTAAAAAACTACTGGGCAAAGGGCAGATTCTGCTCTTCTTCTTGGCTTTGTGGCTGTTCATCAAGATGATGACAAGGTTTGTTTGAGCTCGGGTCGAACCGAGATGACACAAAGCATTATAAGTCCTTCATTAATCATTAAAAAGACAACTAGGCTAAATTATTTAAAGGAATAAAGTAAAAAAAATAAATGTAAGTATATATTATTAAGTTTCCCAGAGATGGGTTGCTGCTGGAAGGCCATCCGCTACGTAAAAACTTGCTGGATAAGTTGGCGGTTCATTCCTCTGTGGCGACCCTGGATTAATAAAGGGACTAAGCTGACAAGAAAATGAATGAATGAATGAATATATTATTACGGTGTAATGTCTCGGCTGTGTTTTTAAAACATTGCGTTTCCTTTGTTTTTATTCTGGCTAGCTACATGAGCAAGCGAGTGACGTATCTATGTAAAACAATAGCGTTCAGCTGCACGTCTAGTTTCGGCTTTTGGTATGCTTTCGCTGGGCTAGTTACCCTTTGCAAAGGGTACCCAAAAAGTGGTAAGGTAGAGTTTGCTTTTAGGTACCTTTTGCCAGTAGAAACGGTCATAAAAGCGTATTGAACCGAACCGCACGTATCATACCACTCAGTGGAAACGGGCCATCAGACTATACATGTCCGTACCCAGGGGGGCTTTCAAGGGGTTTGAAAGACCCAGCCCTCTACTGACTAAGTCCAGAATTTGGCTGCTAAAAAAGCTCATTTGTGCCATTTTTGACCATATGCCTTCATAAATTGTGAAAAAAAAAAAAAAAAAACGATAGAAGGTGGCTTTAAGACAAATGTAATTTTTTATTATTCAAAATTAATTCTGACTGATAAGACAAATTCTGACTGAGGAAATGAGCCGGCCAGTTTGTTATTTGCCTATAGGCGGCGGTTTTTCATTTAAAACAAGTCTTAACAGACTCCGAATAGTTTTTTTGTTTTTAAATGATGGACGATAATAAACTTGTAATTTAAAAATAAGCACATTTTCACATTTCTTCTCATAACATTATTTATAAAATTGTAATAACCTACAGTTTATAAATAAACATATCATGATAAAATAGTATGGTAAGCACTTTGACAAAATCGTTGGCTATATTTTGCTGCATTAAAACGTATTATAATCACATCCAACAGGCTGAACCAGCAAAAAAAAATTTTTTAAATGTCACTATAATGCAGTATTTGAACCTCATAATTTATCAGAAAACATTAACAAAATAAAATGTTTTAAAATAAAACATTAACAAAATAAAATGAATGAACATGGCGAATAGCTGCAAAAAGGTCCACTTTTTGAGAAAAAAGAACCACCTCTTTCAATAGGCTGGCTACAAGTTTGCTATAGTTACTATAATAATAAAGACTTTAATAATTATCAAGAATTTACTTTTTGAATTGCTATGAAATGCACAGAAAAAGCAATAAAAATGCAAATATAAAAAGAATTATTTGTTTTATGAACTAAATGATATATTTGTTATGCACAATATTTGCATTTTGTATTTGATAAAAAATGTAAATAGTCTTTAGAGAAAAACATTTAAATAATTGAGTAATAATTAGTAATACTTTTAATAATGTTTGTTTTTACACAGAAAATAAAAATGTATTTATTATTGTCAAAAGCATGAATTATGTACAAAATAAAAAATAAACAATACTATAATGGTATTTCTCTAAAAATAATGGTTGGTAAATTGTAATTTATTATAATTACTAAAATAATAATAATAAATTATAATAATTAAACAATTATGAAAATAATAATAATTATTATTATTTTATTATTATGATATTTATTATTATTTTATTATTTATTACTATAATTACTATTGTTATTGCTATTATTTTATTTTGTTATTATTTTATTATTACATGTATTATTATTATTATTATTATTAATAATAATATCATTTTTTATTCTTCATTATTATTATTTATTTATTATTGTTATATTTATTATTATTTCTGTGTATTTATTATTATTTATTTATTTATTTATTTATTTATTTATTTATTTTTTATTATTATCGCCAAAACATTTATGTGTATATTTTATTACAATATAAATTATATTACATATAAATGTTTTCTATGTAAATTTTTTCAAAAGATGATAATGACGATGGTGATGATACATAAATTTTTATTATTAATAATAATAATAAAAGACTGATAAATTATTACTACAATTAGCCTTTAACAACAATGTTAATAATAATAAATAGTATCAATAGTATTATGATTATACAACAAGTATGTTTGCTTATTATTATTTGTTATCCCTTGTCACTTATAGCCACTTGCAAATTATTATTTGAATTTACCAAAGTCATGACTAACCACTGCTCTTAAGTGACCTCATTATTATTTAATAATAACCCTGATATTCCTTACTGCCCTCTACCTTTGCCTTCGATTCCAGTCTAATTTCCATCTCTCCTCTTTATCTCTCTCAGGTGAGAAGCCCTTCAACTGCAGATGGCCAAACTGTCAGAAGAAGTTTGCCAGGTCAGATGAGCTCGTCCGGCACCACAACATGCACCAGAGGAATCTGACCAAACTCCAGCTAACCATCTGAACCCTTGTCCCAAACACAGAAACGGCAGGAAATAATCTTGTTTTCCTTTAAGCGTTCAGGTCTTGGAGTTACAACACAAGACAAAGCTACTCTTTATCTGCATGTGCAGCGCCACCTAGAGGAACAAGCTCCAAACCTGGCCATGAAACACCATTACTGTGGTGCCAATAAACAACTGTGTTTCCAGTGAGAAAACATTATGTCCTTAAGGCAAGACACTGCAGGTCGATTGATTACATTAAAAATTCAAATGGTTTTTTTTATATCTTAAGTTTTCTAAAATGTAATGTTAAGATATGTAAACGAAGTATTATTTAATTAAATATGTGCTCATTTGCATATGCTTCTACACAGTATGTTTGGTAAAGTTTTTTTAAAAGTAGTATATTACAATCTTGAGTCACTTTTTTTTTTTTACAAAAAAGTAACTAAATGTGTTATTATATACATATAACTTGGTTATTTTAAAGGAAATTTATGAAAATAAAGTATGTGTATGCATTGTTTGTTTGCTTGAGTATAAGGTTATGACAGACTGTTTAGTGTAACTCCACCACAGATTGTAATATATTACATTTAAAAGTAACTTCAAACAACAATCTGAACATCGGATGAAGTGAAGATTAAAACTCTTGTTACATATTTGGGTCAAATTTTTTTTTACAGAGGGAATTTTGTGACTCTATTTAACACTCAGATGGGGGAAAATCATGTTTATTTGTAGAATAAAATGTAGAAAACCTTCAAAATTCAAATTAAAGTTGACAAAAGAAACACTTGAAGGGATATAGTTCATCCAAAAATACAAATTTACTCACAATTAATTCATAATCAAGTGGTGTTTGAGTTTCCTTTTTCTATTGAACATAAAAGAAGATCTTTTGAAAAATGTTAGAAACCTGTAACCATAGACTTCCATGGTAGGAAAAATAAATACCTTGAAAGTCAATGGTTACAGGTTTCCAGCATTTTTCGAAAGATCTTCTTTTTTTGTTTAACAGAAAATAAAAAAAATTGAGTATGTGTATGCATTGTTTGTTTGTTTGAGTATAAGGTTATGACAGGCTGCTTAGTGTAACTCCACCACAGACTGTAATATGTTACTTTTAAAAGTAACATTATACAACAATCTGAACATCGGATGAAGCCAAAATCAAAATTCTTGTAACATTTTTAGGTCATAGTTTTTTACAGAGGGAATTTAGTGAATTTATCGATCACTCAAGTGGGGTGAAATCTTTTTTATTTGTAGAATAAAATGTAGAAAACCCTCAGAATTCAAACTCAAGTTGACAGTAGAAACACTTGATGGGATACAGTTCACAAAAAATACAAATTTACTCACCGGTTATTCATAATCAAGTGGTTTATGACTTTCCTTTTTCTGTTGAACACAAAAGAAGATCTTTTGAAAAATATTAGAAACCTGTAACCATTGACTTCCATGGTATTTGTTTTACTACTGTGGAAGTCAATGGTTACAGGTTTCCAACATTTTTCAAAAGATTTATTTACTCATTTACTTCTTTTGTGTTCAACCTTTTAAAAAAAAGAAACTCAAACAGGTCTGTGACAAGTAATAATGACAGATTTTTTACTTTTGGATGAACTATCCCTTTAAGAGTGTGCTTTGGAAATTTCTATACACTAAACTGAAAAACAACACTTTATGAAAAGCCCAAATTCAAAACAGTACTTTTGGCTGCAGTGCCTTGCCTTAATGAGCTTTTACATTTATTTTGGGATGTGACATGTAATGTACCTAACATTTATTTAGTAGTTTTTAGACTAATTTATTGTTTGTTGTAAATTAAGAAGTAACAACAGCTGTAAAACTCGTCCTCAGATATTTGTCCTTGACATGCTGTATCTGGAATTGTGAAACTCATCCATGCTGTTTGTAAAAAACAAAATCCACTCTTTTTGACCTTACCAGTTTATTTATGAGTAGGTCACACTGGTTATGTGGCTGAGCGGTTGTGGTCAAGTTGTAAATATTAGTTTCAATCCTCAGCCAACACCAAAGCATAAATTAACAGGCAAAATTCTGTTCAAGGGAAAAGTGACTTGTATGAAAAATGGATGAAATGTGAAACATATTTGGATGGATTTTTTTTGTTTGTCAAATGATCTTTATTTGTATGTTTGTCATATATCTGTTATTGACTGTCAATGTTTTTATTTTTATTAAACTCTTGGCATTAACTTGACGCAATGTGATTCTACAGTTCAGCTCACAATTTAATTTTAAAGCAGCTTCAGTTTTATTTTATATGATTGTGGAATGGACATTGTAAATCTTACTAATAATTTGGTATACAATTGCAAACTATTTTCCCTCATGTGAATTTATTTTCTTTTTCAATTATTACCCAAATTATGTTTAATTACACAAATTTTTCACAGCATTTCCTATAATATTTTTTTCTTCTGGAGAAAATCTTTTTTTTTTTGGCTAGAGTAAAAGCTTTTAAAGTTTTTAATTAAGGGTTCATACACATTTTTACTACTAAAATTCCAGGATTTTTCCATAACTTTGTTTGCGACTTTCAAGTAAATTTTCATGACTTAATGTTTCATGTAATGTCTCTATACACTGTAAATAATAACGTTCAAATTTAGTACAGCATGTCATAAAACAAATCTATTTAGTTTGAATTTTATTTTATTATATATTATTATTCTATTTTATTTATATTGTATGTAAAAAAAATTTAAATAATACTTACACATGGCGGTATATTGCCACTGTGGCACCTCTGACATTGAGACTAATCTGAAGGAAAATTAACGAATGAATGCTTATGCAGCATTCATAATGTGAGACCACGTTTTTGGCCTAGGACAGAAAAGAAGTAAAGACAAATAACCTATATTCATGTTAACAGATATTTGTTTATTTGTTAAACTAATTTCTATGACCTTTCCAAAACTTTGTGAGGCTTTTTGTTTTTCCCAAAACTTTTTCAGACCTGGAAAATCCCATGTCAAAATTTCATGACTTTTCCAGGTTTTCCATGACCGTCTAAACCATGTTAATAATAATAAAAAAAAAAACTTTTAAAGCTCAATATTATTAGCCCCCTTAAGCAATATAATTTATTTTTGATTGTATACAGAACAAACCATCATCATACAATGATTTGCCTAATTATTCTAACTTGCAAAATTAACCTATTTTAATCTTTAAATTGCACTGCAAGCTGAATACGTGTCTTTAATAATATCTAGCAAAATACTACTGTCATCATGGCAAAGAGAAAAATAGATCAGCTATTTTAACTTAGTTATTAATGCTATTATGCTCAAAAAAAACTCCCCGTTTAACAGGAACTGGGGAAATAAATAGGCCTAAATGGTGGGCAATTAATTCAGAAGGGCTAACTGTAACTTTAACTGCGTATATAGCTACATTCTGAAAAAAAGTCTTCTCATTTGCTTAAATTTAAATGATCTCAATGGCAAAAAACAGTAACATTGCGATATTTTTTTACAATTTGACACAACTTTTCTGTCACTTTGTTTTATTTAACAAAGGCCTCCCTTCAAACCTACTCTTCACATCAAAACACCAATGGAATTGTACAACTATCTACTTTATCTTTATCTGAAGCCCAAGACGTGGTCTTCCAGCCTTTTCCATCTTAAACAATTTGCTAGGCCCCCAGCGCTGCGTAAATCAGCGAGCTTCTCCACCCGATTACTCATGCCGAAAAGTCCCGCTATATCTCACAAAGACAAGCGCTTAATCTCTGTCCTACATTCGGTCCGAGTGCCCTTTGAAGGCGAGGTGGCTGCGCAGGGGCGCAACTGCACATTTACTGATGGTTATGCGGCTTCAACTTTTGCGCCCCCCCTTCGATCAAACTATATTTTATAACAGGCAAGTGATAAAATGTGGACAATATTTCCGTCAATAAATTAAAGATATTTTTTCATAAAGATATCAATATGCTTCAAAAATACAGTTTCACATTTCTGAACACAACTGAAATAGTATGAAGTAGTAAAAGGTATAATTACATTAAGCATGTTAAGTCGCTTGACTAGCCTTGCTTTTGCTTTTTGTACTACATTTGTCAAAACAAAATGATAGACATGGGAGTCCTAAAGGGCAAAAGAACATTGCAATTACTTCTCACATGCATACTGTGAGAAGTGTAAGGTCTGTCTTTGCAAGAACAATTGACTGAAACTGCTAAAAGTTAAATAAAAAAGACTGTCAAATGTTTAGTGTAAAAAAAACAGAAACAAACTGTGTGAAATGTTCTATTTAATTGAAATGTTATGACTTTGTTTGTAGCTAAAATTAAAATAGTTTTGAGCTAAGAAGTTACCAAAAGGCCTGATGAATTAATATGATACATAATAAATTCATAAAAACATGTATATGGTATGAAAAATGGGGGGAGGGGTGGAATGATTTTTTAATTTAATAAAATACAATATTATACGCGTATAAAATGCTAAATAAACATTTTTAACAAAAAAATATATGTATTATTTGAAACTTTTAATATGGATAATTTCAAAAATAGTTTTGGCACAATGGCGCCCCCAGTGTTTAGCGCCCCTATGCGCCGCATATACTGCATACCCCCTTTTTGCGCCACTGTGGCTGCGTAGTGTAACTCTGCCATAGTTCACTTAATATGGACTAGAGTTGTGTTAGTTTCTATTCGATGTAAAAAAAAAATAGTGTAATTGAGGAGAAATGTAGCACAACAGGTGAGTTTTTTTTTCCATCACTGGTGAACAAGTAGTCAGTCAAACCGTCTAACTTATAAAGTATTTAAACATTTTGAAATATGCTAGCTGTTAAAAAAGGTCTTACCTGTAGTAAACAGTTCTTCACAGGCATCTTCACAGATAGAAGACATTTGTTTTTCTTATAATTTGTTGTAGGTAAATATCCACCTCATTCTTAGCGTTTTTTGTCTTCATTTTTTACGCTTTTCATTCACTTTATTTATTTATTTATTTTTTTAACGGAAGCGCGTTCGTTATCTGCACTGTAAACGTGCCTGGCTTCCGGTACCAACACTTTGTTGTGCTTTATATTGCAAACTGGTATATGTTATGCTATTTTATAGCTAGGCTACTAGCATTATACTCGTAATCTAATTTACCTGAAATACACTTTGTTGGGTTATTAACCTGAGTTCTAGCTAAATATTAAATTTCAATTCAATCCATCTTTATTTTTTATAGCCTATATTTTTATTAAATACAAGAATAAAAACATCACTGCATTGAAAATAAAATTAAATTAAAAAACAAATTAAGGAAGAAGAGGAAAAAACAACAACAAAAAAAAAACCAAAGCTTCAATCATTGTACAAAGTCTCAGTCATTAAGAAAAAAAGATTATCATCAGCGTTAAGAAATTTAAATTCATTTTTATTTCTATATCCACTTGTAAAGTGGTGAAGTATCGTTGACCTATGGAATGCTGTTTCCGGGTCC